TCCCCCAATACCGCTTCAAACGCATTCAGTGGCCCATGGGGCTGCGCCCAAAAAAAAATATACAAAAAAAAAAAATTAAAAAAAGAAACCACTTGAAAAACTTTGCAATCAACGCGGCGCACTGATTACAATGCCCGAGCAGCGCTGCCAATGTCGACGTCAGCGCAGGACGAGCGATGGGTTAGAGGGCGGGGCAAGGGGTGTACCTGCATAAATGTGCAATGTGCGTGGAGTTGGCAGTAGTCAAAGTGCGGGCACACACACACACAAGCATACACAAGCACACACACGCACACAGAGACATACAATGCAATATATTTTCGCTTTGGCATTTGTTGCGTTTCGAGATGTTTGCTTGCACTGTATTTTAGCTGTGTGTGTGTGTGTGTGTGTGTGCGTGTGTGCGTGTGTGAGTGTGATTGACAGTTGCCCCATTGATAAGGGCATGCGCTGATGATGGCAAGGGGGGTGGTGGGGCTGCTGCGAGTGCGTCGTTTCATATTTTTTATAATTAAAATGCCGGCTGCCTAAATGCAGTCAAAAGTTATGCGAGTCCGAAAAAAAAATAAACAACAACGAAAAAAAAAAAACCGCAAAAAAATGATACGCATACGCAGCTAAACAACAACAGAGGTGGGCGGAGGGGGGAGGCATGAACGACGACGATGACGCTGCATAAAATGCAAGCGCAGCGACAGTTGAGAGGCGGCCCAAAGGTATGCTACGAAAAAAATTGCATAAAAGCTACAGCAACAACAAGAAGAAGAAGTACAACAACAACGACGACGACGCCGACGCCGACGCAGGCAGCGGGCAGGCAAATGAAAATGTGAAGGCGATGATGTAGAAGGAGAAGGAGAAGCTGCATAAGCACAAAAGCGCTGCGAATGAGCCGCAGCAGCAGCTGCACGCTAAACTGAAAGAGAGACAGACAGACAGAGAGAGAGAGAGAGAGCGAGAGGGGGGGGGGGGGGGGGGGGCAGCAAGTCAGAGACGTTGGTAAGTGAGTGAGTAGAAGAGGCTTACAGAGAGAAAATAAAAAAAACAAGATATTTGTTTCAAAATTAAATACGCACGTGTACATGTGTATATGTGTGACTGCAGTATCTCTGTGTGCATGTGTGTGTGTGTGTGCTTCAGGTAAAATGAATGCAAAGCGTAAAAGAAAGCAAAAGTTGTTGCTGCGTTGATTTTGTCTCTTTGCGCTTATGTGCCGTTATTATTTTTATTATTCTTATAATTTCTAGACGCTCCCATGCACAAGGGGGAGCGGGCGCAGGGCACAGAACGGCAACAAAAACGAAAGCAAAAACAAAAACCAAAAAAAAAGGAAAGTGTAAAAGCAAAAGTATTTGTGTTGCGGCTGGCTCAGGTCTGCAGCAATACCAAGAGTCGAAGCGGCAAATTGCATGTGACACACGCACACACACACACAGACAGACACACGCACACAGTAAGGGCAGCCATTTGCATATGTATGCGTGCGTGTGTCAGCGTCAATGTCCGACAACGACTCCAGACGCGCGTGTGTGTTGCCTGCTACCTTTTTATGCGAGCATTCTTTTACTTTTTCGTTTGCAATTTATTTTTGGTTTTTGTTTTTTAGATAACATTTTATTTGAATTTATACACATGTGCATATGTGTGTGTGTGGCACGAATGCGCTACGCTAAGTTTATGAGACATAAGAGGCTTTAGCTGAAGTTTGTCGCTTTAGCGCTTGGCTTAAAGACTTCCACAAAAGTGACTTATCGATTTTCGATAACAAGGCAGTTATCGATACATTTTGAGTTGGATATTTCTGAATATAGTTAGAAAAACGTTTTGTCAATTGCCATATTTGCAAATTCAATAGTCACATCAAATATTTATCGTTATCGATAACTGGCGAACGTTTGTAGCGCCATCTATCGGCTTGACTAGTCGCATCTGTCGCATCCTGGTTCGACTTTCTGACTGCATTTTTAGCAGCTTGCAACGTTCGTTGCGTTGCGTTGGGCTCGCGCACACAGGACGTTATCCTCTGTGTGTTTCGTGCAGCATTCGCCCCTGCCCCTGCCCCTGCCCCTGCCCATTGCCCCAAACTTGGCTGACTGTGCGTCGCTTAAATTCGTCAAGCGTTGCAACAAAGTGCGTTTTGTACTTTTTCTTTGCACTGGCGACGTCGTCATCGTTGTCGTTGTTGACGAAAGCACGACGGAAAAAAATACATGTGGAAGAGGATTCGCAGCACACACACACACACACAACACACACACACACGCATACGCAGGAGCAGAGCCAAGAAATATAATAAAAACGACAGCAGCGACTATTTGTTGTTTTTGTTTTTGCTGCTTGTTCGCAAAAAAGGGCAGAAGCGTCGACATTTCAGCAATGAGGGGGGTTTGAAAAGCGGGTGGGGGCACCGAAAAAGGAACAACATAAACACAAAAATAGGGGAAAAACAAAAAAATGTAATGTGAAAATATATATTTGCCGGAAGCTAAATGTTTTACCAGTTTTTATGCAGTCGGCGCTGCGCTGCTTACGTTATCCTTCAAAATCGCAAGTACAGTTGCGTTCGCTGCGCCTAAATGCGAGCTTCAAGCGTTTCCACTGGCTTCCGAAATGTTGAAATTGAAAAAAATAAATAAATGGAGAAAAACCCGGCAAGCAGCTGATTTTGTGCAAAGACTCGAGTTTCCACATCGGCAAATCAATAGAAATATTCTAATTGAAATATTGTAATGTGTTTTATTTAATTATTTTCATGTTTGTTTACTTTTCTTTTTCGACATTTTTTCCATGTTTGCATTTTGTATTGTTGCGCACTTGTGTAATAAATTATGTGCACGGGCTGCTTGCCAAAAAAAAAAAAGGAACAAACGAAAAATTTGAAGCGCGAAACGACAAAACGATGCAAGGGCCCCAATATGAAAGTTCAAAATATGTGCGACTCTCTATGCGCTTCTCACAATGCAAACTGAGTTTGGATTTAGCTAGAATTAAAATGCAAAGAAAAAATGCGTATATATCCATAGTTCAGCTGGAACAGTCAGATTTGAGAGCCGTGTTAAGTAAATGGTCATGGGAGCTACGATCTTACGTATTGCAACTGGCATTAAAATAAACATAACATACTTTCAAAAAGTTTCGAATACATTTGAAAAAACCAATTGAACTAGCTTTAAGGAATCGTAGTTGTTCGTATTTCTGTGCCAGAGCATAGGGTACATGCCAAATTGGATCAGGTAGAGCTGGCTGGTTGCCGGCCATATTGAAAATTATGGTGTCGTTAACATGCAACTGCAACTGCCACGAACAACAAGAAGTGGAAGAAGCAGCGACGGGGTCGTAGTAAAAAATTAAATTAAAATAGAAAACAAACTCAACATGGTCAGCAAATAAATAAAAAATGGCCAGGCCAAAAAACATGGCCAAAGCAAAATAGAAGCGAATTGCAAGCGGAAATTGCTAGCAATGTTGTGCGAGTGTGCATATGTGTGCGTGTGTGTGTGTGTAAGTGTGTGTAAAGTAACAAAATCCGCTTGCCACACAGAATATAAAAAGAAGAAAAAAAACTACATTAGAAACCAATGCAAACTAAACTGAAACCTAACAGGAATATACAAAAATAGGAAGAAAATAGAAAAAGAAATGACATTTAGCTGTGCGTAAACTTATTGCACAGAGTGTTTACTCTAGTGTGTATATATATATATATATATAGATATATACATGTAAGTATACTGTATATTGTGTAACTGTACAGACATGTGTGTGTGTGTGTGTGTGTGTGTGTGTGATGGAGATAGCAAATTACGTATACGAGTAAACAAGTGTGTGAAAGAGAGCGCACTACACATGGAAACACAACAACAACAACAAAAAAAGTACAAATATATATATGAAGATATATAGACGTATACAAAGAGAACTTCAACTGAACAACTAACATTAAAAATATATATATATATATCTTATTTGTTTATGGTATTTTTTATTATTTGTTGGTTATGTAAGCTTTACTTGTTAAAAAATATTTTGTTTTGTATATATACGAGTATTAATTGAAAAAAAGAAAGTATATAAATATATTGGATATATATATGTATAGGTTATATATATATATATATATATATATATTTATATATAACCGTATATACATATATATATATATATATATATATATATATATATATATATATATGTATATACGGTTATATATAAATATATATGTATAGATTTATATGTATATATATAGGTATATATAGGTATATAAATTCATAGACAAAGAACACGACGAAGAGCAAAAACATGTGTTGAGTTTTTTGATTTGTTTTCTTTGCTTAGATTTGGTAATGTTTTTTTTTTTTTTGGTTTCTTTAATTCTGGATACATAATATAATTTTGATATATATAAATATGCAATGTATATAAATGGCAGGTATATAAACGACAGACAGAGAGAGAGAGAGAGAGAGAGAGAGAGAGAGAAGGGGGGAGATAGACCAAATTGAATACGTAATATTGTGTTGAAGTTAAGAGTTGAACAGAAATGATGAGTATTTTGAATGTTGACTTAAACTGAGGGCAAAGAGATAGTTAAAGAGAGGGAGGGAGAGAGAGTGAGAGAGAGAGAGAGACAGAGCGTGTAGCCATAAAGGGGGTGTATTATATGGGTAATAATTACGTATTTAGTATAGATAGTTAGCATTCTATCCAGATGGTAAGGTCAATTTTTGGCTCAGATTACTCTGAGAGAGAGAGAGAGATTGTCAATGCGAATTTGTTTGTTTGTCTTTTGTTTTGTTTTGTTTTTTTTTTTTTAAAGACCTATCGAAGCAGCAAAAGCATTCACTGAATGGATTTGGAAAGGGGTTAGGGGTTACGGGTTACGGAATATGTTTTCGTCTGGTCTGTGTGAGACGGGGGCTTTCGGGCTTTCGGGTATTGGGGTTGTGGGGCTTTGGCTGGATGGCTGGGTTTTGCTGGAGATTCGGTTATTCAACACTTACCGACTCGTGCGAGGCGCGGTAGTCAAGGTCGCCGCCCAGTCCGCCGCCAGCTGATGCCGAACGCGGTTGCATGTGTCTACTGTGACTGCTGTTATCATCCTCACTGCAATCGATTTCTTTCTTGAGGCTCTGCAAAGACGAACAATATGAATATTAATATATAATTGAAAGCTAAAATTTTGAAAAGAAGGCCCCTAAGAAATATTTTAAAGCAAATATCTGACATAAGCGCAATGTAAAAATATTTCCCAATTACTTCTTAGGCGTCTTAAGATAAAGCAGGGCTTTAAGCAGCATCAATGTGCATTTAACAGCATGAGCTTAACAGAATAAACTCAACATTATGCGGTTAACAGTGTAATAATAATTAACAGTAAGTTAATAATGTAAAAAGTCTAACATTGTATCAATAATGGAGTGAAGTCGGGAATTTGAGCATTCACATTTACAGTGTTATGTTAACAGTTTCACTTTAACAGTATGTTGATAGCAAAGTGAAGTAAGGAGAAGCAAGTATTTAACAGTAGATACAAAAAGTTGATAATCAAATTTAACAGTGTAAAGTTGACAGTGTATCAGTATCAGAGTATAGTTAACAGAGCACCGTTTGAAGTTTAACATTAACAGTGTTAAATTAACAGTTTGATTTAAACAGACTGTTGATAACAGAGTGAAGCTAAGAGAGTAAAGAGAACAGCAAGTTTTCCTGTTTGCAAACACCTCAAATAGACTTGTTGACTTGGATTTAAACAACTTGAATGCACAGATTCGGACTCTTATTGCTACGCACTGCACTATTAAGCACACAATGGGTATTATTGGGTAACCTGGCTAGAGGCTAGCTGGGCGAAGACTTACCAATGGCACCGATTGCACTGGCAAGAGACCGGCTACGGAGCCGGGATTCAATAGGCTGCTGGAGCGCCCCTCGGCAATGTTGCTGCCGTCGCGGGATGAACGCGACGCTGGACGCCCTGACTGTGCCATCGATAGACTTAGATCGGAGGCGCCGGCGCCGGGCGTCGAGCGGGCCGATTCCATAGCGGCGGCTGCGGCGGCAGCTGCTGCCGCGGCTGCTGCTGCCGACGATGAGGGCATGGTCATCAGCGGCGATGGTATAACGGTGGAGCCCGTGGAGAGATCGACACCGCCGCTGCTCATCTTCATGTTGAGGCCCATATCGTTGCTGCTATTGTCCGCCTCATCGTCATCGTCCAGATCCATTTCGTCGTCGTAATCGTCGTCGAGCACTTCGGTCTTGGGCTGCAGACCGCCGACAACAACGCCGCCTGGCGAGTGCAGCAGCGTCTCATGCGCCGCCGGCAACTCCACATCATCATCCTCGTCGTCGTCCTCATCCTCGTCCGCGCCATGCGCCCGCCGCGCGCTATGATGCGCAATGCGTTGCGCAATATCACGCGCTGCTGCTGCGGCGGCGGCGGCTGCTGCCGCTGCCGCACTGGAGCGATCCACAACAGCCACATGCTCATCGGAATCATCCATATCATTGTCATTGTCGTTCGGCTCATCCTCATCGTCATCATCGTCGACGGCGACGACATGGCTGCTCGGCTCGGGTGCTGCGTTTGCGGAGCAGTCGCCGTTGCTGCCGCTGGGCGAACCTGCGGTTGAGGAGGAGCATGTGGCCTTCATTTGGTTGCTGCTGCTGCTGCTGCTGTTGTTGTTGTTGTTGCTGTTGTTGTTGTTGTTGCTGCTGTTGTTGTTGTTGTTGTTGCTGCTGTTGTTGTTGCTATTGCTGCTGCTGTTGTTGTTGTTATTGTTGTTGCTGTTGTTGTTGTTGTGGCTGCTCGCGGCGCTCTCTGGCGGAATAGCTTGTGGGTCAGCGGACGCGACGGCGGGTCTTTGATAGAGATCTAGCGGCATAGGTGTTTCCTCCTCCAGCTCCTCCTCCAGTAGCTCTTCCTCCTCCTCCTCATCATCATCATCATCATCCTCATCGTCATCATCCTCCAGCAGCTCAATAGCCGCTGTGCTGCTCTTCGCTGGCCGCTTCGGCGGCGTTGGGCTGCAGCGTTCGCTTGCCTCACGCTTTGACGCTGACGTCGCCGACGTCGACGCCTCAGTCGCTGAGGTTGCTGAGGTCGCTGGCGTTGAGCCCGATGCGGCTGTTGTTGCTGTGGTTGTTGTTGTTGCTGCTGTTGTGGCTGCTGTTATTGTTGCCGCTGCTGCTGCTGCCGTTGCCGCTGCCGCTGCTGCTGTACTGCTGCTTGTGGAGGCAGCTGCTGTCGCTGTGTTGTCCGCAGCTGCTGCCGCTGCCGCCGCTGCTGCTGCTGCTGCGGCTGCTGCAGTTGTAGTTGCCGCTGTTGTCGCGGTTGTTGAGCTGGGAGCGGACGCTGCTGCTGTGCCATCCAGGGCCGCAGCCGCTGGACTGTCGGCCGCCTTGCTGGCGCCTGCGCCGCCGCTGGCCTGCGAATGGGGACGCAGTCGATCCGGTTCCCGTTCGGGCTCCCGCAACGTCGTATTCTGATTTGTCATCTCGGCTAGGCCTTTAACCTGTCGGAAGGACATCCGATTAGGGTCAACTGGATCTAATTGGACCCACAAGTGGGCCAGTACTCACCTTGAGTGATTCGGCTGTCTTGAGCAGCGCTGGCAACTGACAATATTGCACGTTCACTTCGCCCTTGTACATGAATTCAACTAGAGTTTGCAGCTCGGCAAAACGGACGTCCTTCAGTATCACAATTGGATGTGGATCGGAGTGCTGCAGAAACAGGCTCTGGAAATACGAGGAGCAGGCCGAGAGGACCACCTGTAAAGCAAAAAAAAAAAATAAAACAAAACCCATTAAACAAAACATATTTTTATGCAAAATATGCAAAATAACTACAGTACGCATTTGCGATCAATTTGACTGGTAAAGTTCATAGTAAATATAAATTTGTCTAATAATGTTCATTGTAAATGAAAATTCGACTGGTTAGGCTCATTGTAAATGAAAGTTAGAATGATAAGGTTCATTGTAAATACATATTTGATTAGCAAAGTTCGTTGTTAATGAAAATTTGAGTGATAAAGTTCATTGTAAATGAAAATTGGACTGGTCAAGCTTATTGTACATTGCAAATTCAAATCTGCCTGGTGAAGTTCATTGTAAATACAAATGTGACTGGCAAAGTCAATTGTAAGAGAAAATCTGACTGGCAAAGCTCATTTTAAATATAAGTTTGACTGGTAAAGTTCATTGTCAAAAAATATGCTACTAATAAAGTTAATTGGTCTTGAAAGAGCACTTTTTAGTTGAACAATTGCCATTATTTTGCCAATAATATACTTTATATACTTTTATGATACATTCCTTCCAAAACTATACAAAACTTTCCTCTCCTTCAAAATAAAGGCTCCTCTCATAGTTTCTCAACTCGGTACTTAATTACATGGAATATTAATTCAAAATAAATGTGAAGTTAACTTGCGGATATAAAAATGAATACTATTTAAGTCATGACTTATACTCAAGGCTTTGGCATCGTAGCTTTTATTAAATTGTGAACATTAAATTGTTTCAAATGGCAATTGCAAGTGCTTAAGTTCAGTTGCAGCATTCACATAAAAATAAACCACCTGCTTAAATGATCTTCTGAGCATGAGTTGAGGTTTATCGATAAAGTATATCGATTGGACATTAGAAAGCAACTCGAGTGCCTGGCACCCAACTGCAAGGCGCGTCTATGTGAGCTCCACTTGCTGGAAGGGGGACGGGAGCTAAACATTTATTAGATTTACGATCAGCGTGGGGCAACACGGCTCCGCTTTGAAGATGCAGCCACAACTGAGGCCAACTGGTCAACTGGCTGCGATGGCTGCGGGCGTCAAGGCGTGAACACGCCACCAATGACAATGCGCTGCCAGTAACTGGCGGCAACTGGAATGGGAGCAACGGCAACGGCAACGGCAACTGCTGCAACTGCAACAACAATCTGGCCGCATATCTGTCGATTTTTATGTGCGCTTGCACGCCTTGGGGTATGCAATGCAGCTGGGGCAGCAGCTCGCAGGGGATGCAGCAACAGGCGTTGCGTAGCAGAGCGTCGGACAGGGGTGGGGTGCGGCGGGCTGTCTGATGGGGCATGTTGTAAATTTTCATGGCTTGGCAAATTGAAAAGGCGTCGGCCTCGCATTTCGCATATAGATTCGGCCGACTGCCTAATGAGCTTTTGGCTCTTGGCCGCTGTCCACGTTTGGCCACGTTTGGGCAGATGCCGGCCTGTGAGATCCAGTTGCTATGCCGTACCCCTTCCTCCCACTCTTCCACTCTCCCACTCTCTCACACCGACCTCATGCCAGGGCCTGTCACGCGCCCCGTTTGCACGAGAATTTATTTAAAAAAATGCAATCGGCGCGCACACGCCCCCAAACGCAAAAGCCTGAACCAAAATGAGCGCTAATAAATTCACGCGCATATTAGTGGGGCGCATCGGGTTTGGGGCAGCGGCTCGGGCCCGTATCTTTCGCTCTCTGCACAGAAAAAAGAAAAGAGTCTACGAGTCTGGCATTAAGAAAATCGAATTTCCTGATTACAACAGGCAGCAGCTGGGAGCTGTGGAAGGAGGCGCTGTCCAAGCGGCGCAAATTGGCAACACTTTTAATTGAACGCCGCTGCAGACGTCGCTGCAACTGCAACTGCTGCTGCTGCTGCTGCTGCTGCTGCTGCTGCTGCTGCTGCTGTTATTATTAACATTGCGGGCATAACGCCCCCAAAGCTAATGAACGCCAAAGGCTTTGATTTCTAACGCCAAGCGCAGTTAGAAAATGTTGCATGTAATTTGCAGCCAAATAGTCAACAACATAAATTGCAATAGATTACGTGAGCATAAAGAGGGGGGATTGGGTGGTTGGGGGGAGATGTCAAGTATTGCTTATAGATTGCGTGTCTATATGTGGGCGTTGCCACACTTTCCCATTTCGGTTCATATACAAATCGTCAACAAATTTAAATGAAATTACAAAAGGCAGCCAACGCCTCAGAGCTGCACGTAAAATCAAAGCAAATTAACTGGAACGGGAATGGGAATGGGAACGGGAATGGGAACGGGAATGGGAACGGGAACGGGAACTGGTACAGGAACTGTAATTGGAACTGGCTACTGCAACTGCCAACAGTTGTGATGTGTGTGTGTGTGTGTGTGTGTGTGTGTGTGTGTGTGTGTGTGTGTGTGTGTGTGTGTGTGTGTGTGTGTACGCACAACCATAAATCAATGTGGGAAACTGTTCCAAGGGCAGCTGCTGTCGGCCTTTAACTAGCCAGGCGTTAGCCAGACTCTAAGCCGTTTACTGCTACTGCAACTGCTCCTACTGCTACTGTTACTGCTACTGTTACTGCGGCATTGCCAGAAATTGATTTGGAGAAATAATCGTGTGTATAGCAAATGCAATATGTTAAAGCTAACTAACAAGCCGAACACCTAAGCTAACTAACAAAAGCTATATTGATTAAATTATTAAAATAAAAACCGATATAAAAATAATAATAAATAAATAAATAAAAATTCGAATTCTTAAACTCTTTCTTTTAGTTACTTTAAAACTCCGAAAAGATTTGCTTGTTTAACATTTGACAACACAGCAGAGCTCAGTAGAAAGCGTTTTGCAACACTAAAAACTAAATAACTTCATGTCTGCGCTGTGGCTTCCGACTGATTTTAATAAAACTTAAATAAATTTCAAAAACTTAAATCAATTTATGTGCATTTCTCACGATTAAATGTTGTTAACTTTCATTTGTCTTAATATTTTTTTAGAAAATAGAATAAAACAAGACAAAACTAAATTATTTAAAAGAAATAATGTGTATAAGAGTTTGCTAATTTGCTTTATTTAAGAGATAAAAAAAAAGTATGGTTAAATCTGTGATAAAAGAGAGAAATATATCTAAATAAACATAAATAAAAGAAAGAAATTAAAAAATAAATTAATAAACATAAATAAAATAGAAATTAGAATTAAAAAAAAAAAGCAACTTAAAGAAAATTAATTAAACTAAACAAAATAATTTGAGTCCAACGATCTTCAAAAAGAAAAACAACCACAAGGCTGCGCTCACAATTGCAGGCTTAGGAAAAATCAATAAAAAATCAAATATGCTGCAATTTGTGCAATAATTACAAGAATATTTGCCAAAGAGTAAACCGAATGCAAATTACAGAAATTAGCGCGCATTACAAGTGCGGGAGAGCAGCCTTCAAGAGGCAAGAAATAGCCCATAAAAAATATAATAATAATAATAATACTAATAACAACAACAACAACTAGGTAAGGAGAAATGCTAATAACCATGTCTGCCACAGCCGCAAATTGTGCGGATCAGCCCGAGGAGCAGCCGAAACCTGGCTGGGCAAAAGGCGGGGCCACAGGTGGGTGCAGTTCGGTGGCGTTTGTTGGGGCAGTAGCGGTTGTTGAGGCAGCATCAAAAGGCTGCAACTGCAGCTGCAGCTTAAATTATATTAAGACATAAATGTGGCCAGATCAGAGACGAGCGGCATGGGGCATGGGGCATGGAGCATGGGGCATGGGGCATGGACTGCGCATTGCACTTGGCAGTTGCAAGTTGGCGTTGGCCCTCTGCTGGGCACACAGCACAGAAATAGCAAAGGCAACAACAGTCTAAAGTGCCGCAAGCGGCAAGGCAAAATTGCTGCAACAACAACTACAACAACGGCGAAATCTATGCACATACATATATAGCGCAGGCGATATGCAAACATAATAATTTGCATATTTCGCCGCAGTGTTTTGGCGACCCAACTCGGCTCTGATGGTGGTCAAGAAGCAGCAGCAACAACAGCAACAACAACAACAACCGGATACTTTCAGGGAGTGGCCATAATAGAAATGTTAACCTTTTGCAACAGCGCCTCAGCGACCCGGCGTCTCTTTTTTTCTCTCTGGTTTTTAAAGTTTTGCTGGCAGAGTCGTCATACCTATATAGTAAATGCTCACCCCTCCACCCTCCACCCCCCACTCTACCTGCCCAAATCAGCCCCTCAGCCTTTGCAGTGTTTCACTTTTTGCAGTTTGAGCGTCATGTGGCAATCAGTGCCTGTCAAACTGCGTGACTCACAAACAAATACATCTATAATAAGTACTACAGTCAGAGATATATTCTGGATCTGTGTAAGATATTTTTAAAAAGCTACGAAATATGATAAAAACAAGTAAGAGGTTATAGTCGGGAGCTCGCGACTATGGGATACCCTGAACCCTCTTCTTCCAACATCAAATGCATATATATATTCTATTTTAGAAGCTATATGTCAAGTTTGGTGACTCTAGCTCTTATTATTTACCAAAATTGCCCAATCGATTGCTTGGAAACGGAGTAGGTTATCGATTATCGGAAACAAACTCGATCTGCGCGGGAACTAGGAGCAGCACCTACATCTAAAATTTCAGGTCTCTAGCTCTTATAGGTTCTGAGATCCTTGCGTTCATACATACGGACGGACGGACGGACGGACAGGCAGACGGACATGGCTAGATCGACTCGGCTATTGATGCTGATCAAGAATATATATACTTTATGGGGTCGGAGTTGCTTCCTTCTGCCTGTTACATACATTTGCATTTTGCACAAATACAATATACCCTTATACCCATTTTTAATGGGTTTAGGGTATAAAAACTACGAAATATGATAAAAAAAAACAGGCTATCGATAACGATTCGAATCGACTTTTTTGATAAACGTGGCGATGATTCGAAACAAGCAAGAAAATAAAACTCACTCGACTTCAAGCTTTAAAAAAGAATTCG